GAAGAAAGGAAGGAAGGAAGGAAGGGAAAGAAAATAAGTGGGGGAGAGAGACACAAGAAGAAAAGAAGGAAGGAAGGAAGGAAGGAAGGAAGGAAGAGAAGGAAAGAAAATAAGTGGAGGAGAGAAACACAAGAAGAAAAGAAGGAAGGAAGGAAGGAAGGAAGGAAGGAAGGGAGGGAACCTGATCACAATTGAGGTCAAAATTTTGGTTGCTAAGCAAGAGCATTGTTAAGTGAGTTTCACCACATTTTCCAACTTGGCCACGCCCACCTGGTCAAATGACCACCGAGCCACTCCCACAAAATAGGCCACACCTACAGAATAGGTTCTAAATTTTTTTGAAACCCACCACTGGGCGGCCACACGATCTTCCAGATTCATCCGCTCAACCAGAATGACCTAGCTAGCGATTCTGGAAGTCCAGCTCCTCCAAAGATTGCAAGTTGGAGAAGACCGATCCACCGTGCATCTCCAGCTCTACCCCCACCCTGTCAGGGAGCCTACTTACGTCCTGCGTCGAAGGCGATGCTGCTGGTTGCGTTGCCAAAGGGGTTGTCAGCTTGACACACAAAATCTCCTGAATCTTTTTCCGTGAGGCCCTGAATCTCCAGCCTCAAACTGTTCTCTGAGTAGAAGGTGTGGAAATGCTGGCCAGCTGGTGAGAAGCTTTTGGTGATATTCAGGCGTTGACCTCCTTTATACATGGTCAGCCTGGAAGGTGGGTAGCTGTCCACGAGGCAGGTGATGATAGCCAACCTCCCATTCTGAATGTCCAGATAAGCGTTCAGGGAGGGGCGTTCCGGAGCATCTACATTAAGAAGAACAACGGAACTCCCTTGGTCAACAGCCGGGCCAATCGGCCATCAACAGGCACAGAGAGATAAACAATGTTTACACACCATTCGAATGAGAAGAACCAAAGAGCTAAAAGACCACAACACCCCCTTGCCAGCAATCAACCCCCACATAGGCAGAGATTAACGCCAAGACGAACACCAGATCAATAATCAAACAATAAAGAATAACCCAATCAAGGAGCTATTAATTCAGACAAACAATCCACGAGGAAAAGAAAATCAGCTTCATCAAGGAATCACCAAGAACCTCCCCACCAACACTGATAAGGCAAGCCATTAATCTATGAAACCAGAGCACACTCCATTCAGCACTGATGATGTTATCTATCTGGGTCATGAAATGTTTGTAAGAATGCCATGCTCTCTTTCCTCCTCCTCCTCCTCCTCCTCCTCCTCCTCNGTGTGTGTGTGTGTGTGTGTGTGTACAAACATAATTTTAAAAAGAAAGAGAAGTTGATGAATAGAATAGAATAGAATTCTTTATTGGCCAAATGTGATTGGACATAAGGAATTTGTCTTTGATGCATATGCTCTCAGTGTACATAAAGAAAAGATAGATTTGTCAAGAATTATAAGGTACAACACTTAATGATATCCTTAGGGTACAAATAAGCAATCAAATCATATTAGGAAACAATTAATATAAATCGTAAGATACAAGCAACAAAGTTAGAGTCATAAGTGGGAGAAGATGGGTGATAGGAACGATGAGAAGATTAATAGTAGTGCAGACTTAGTAAATAGTTTGACAGTGTTGAGGGAATTATTCATTTAGCGGAGTGATGGTGTTCGGGAAAAACTGTCCTTGGGTCTAGTTGTTCTGGTGGTCATTTTGAGGGTAGAAGTTGAAACAATTTATGTCCAGGATGCGAGGGGTCTAAATATTTGCACAGCCCTCTTTTTGACTCATGTACGGGTCCTCAATGGAAGGCAGGTTGGTAGTAATTGTTTTTTTGCAGTTCTAATTACCCATATCTGTTGGGTTGCAGAACCAAACCAGACAGTTACATAGAAAGCAAGACCATACTTGAAAGGGACTAGGAGACTTGGCTTTAGACAGAAGAGGGAAACTCTGGAAGAGACAGAAGTTAGAAAGGCACATAATTGCATAAAATGTAATCTTAATTACAAGGCTCTCCTGCTTCCGTTCCCTCAGCAATTAGCCAGCATTTGCAGACAGCTGATGACTCATCTTGGTGCTTAAGCCAGTGGGTAAAAGTAACTGGATATCATGCAGAGCATGAATTGGATCACAAGGACTGTTGTTGTCTTAAAACTCTAGTCTTCGGGCTACTTTCCTACCCCCCACCTTTTTAGTATTAATCCTTTCTTGGACAGAAGTGATAGATGCTGCGACAACAACCTGCAGGTGTATTGATCTGCAAATCTCCTTCATGCTTTAAGATTAGCTAATTCTGCACATTCATGTCAGCGGAAATGCTTGCTAAGTCTAGCAGGGACAGGTTCTATGTTAAAAAGAGTTGGGGATTAGGAAGATATCCAAAATGCATGGGCTTTCTTGCTGCAAGATACAGGTAGTCCTCAACTCACAACAGTTTGTTTAGTAACCGTTCAAAGTTACAACGGCACTGAAAAACATGACTTGTGACTCCTTTTTCACACTTACGACCTTGGTCACGTTATCAAAATTCAGATGCTGAGTAACTGGTTTTCACACATCCTGCTGCATCCCTAGATCACGTGATCACCTTTTGACAAGCAAAATCAGTGGGGAAGCCAGATTCACTTAACAACTTTACTTGACAACAGTGGCAAGAAAAGTCATAAAATGGGGCAAAACTCATTTAACAAATGTCTCGCTTACTGCGTTTCCCCGAAAATAAGACAAGGTCTTATTTTCTTTTGACTCCTGAAATAAACACTTGGCCTTATTTTAGGGGAGGTCTTATTATTTTTGGGGTGGCAAGCTTTTGGGGGAGGGCTTATATTAGCGCATGCACTCAAAAGCCCGATTGGGCTTATTATCCAGGAAGGTCTTATTTTCAGGGAAACAGGTAACAACAGACATTTTGGGCTCAATTGTTGAAAATCCATCAGTCGAGAACTACCTGTGCGTTGAAGGGAACTATCTTAAACCTTGGATACTACATTGACACCCTTCTTAATACCTTAGACCAGTGGTCCCCAACCCCCGGTCCACGGACCGGTGCCGGGCCGTGGAGTACCTGGCACCGGACCGCACAGCGGCCGGGGGCCATGATCGCTGCAGCGCAAAGGCTCCTGGGCCGTGCGCAAAGCCTCCAGGGAAGAGAGCCCCGCGCAGGTACGCACGTGTGGCCCAAAGCTGACGTG